CTTTGTAGTCTATGAAAGCTTCCAGCAAACTACCAAGGTTTGCACTATAGGACAGCCACAATACTATCACCTGCCACAATGCTCAGTCCCTGGACAAGAAATTTCCAGGCTATCTAGAAAGCACAGAAGAGGAAAAGAGTGATCTTCTCACTTCATTACCATACATTATAGTCAGCATCATAAATCATAGAATCACAAGGTTGTATAATCTAAACCTCCTCTAGTACAACTTGTGGCCATTTCTTCAGGTTCTGTTTGTTGCCTAGGAGCAGAGGCCAGGTTCCCCAGAAGAATATTGTGCAGGTCCATGTCAAAGGCTTTGCTGAAGTCTAGGTAGACTACATCAACAGCCTTTCCCTTGTCTACCAGGCTGCTCACCCAGTCATAGAAGGAGATGAGGTTGGTCAAGTACGACCTGCCTTTCATGAACCCGTGTGGCTGGGCCTGATCCCCTGGACGCGATGCACATGCCTTGTGATCTCACCCAAGATGATTTGCTCCATAACCTTCCCTGGTACCGAGGTCAGGCTGACAGGCCTGTTGTTCCCTGGATCTTCCTTACGGCCCTTCTTCTAGGTGGGAGTCACACTGGCAATCCTCCAATCTTCTGGGACCTCTTCAGATAACCAGGAGTGCTGTTAAATGGTAGAGAACAGCTTGGCAAACACGCTCGGCAGCTCCCTCAGCACCCTAGGATGAAGTCTGTCCTGTCCCATGGACTTGTGACAGTCCGGATGGAAGTGTCTCTAGTGTCTCCACCTGAATCACTGGGAATATATTCTGCATAGCATCCCAGACTTTCAGATCAGGGTGTAAAGTGCCCCGAGTATAACTGATCTGCCTATTAAAGGCAGATATAAACAAGGCGTTGAGGACCTCAATCTTCTTATCCTCAGTGGTCACATTCCCTGCTGCATCAAGTAAAGGATGGAAATTCCTCCTGGTTCTTCTCTTACCATTGATATATTTATAAAAATTACTGCAGTGGGCAATCTGAGTTCAAGTTGGGCTTTTGCCCTCCTAACTTCCTCCCTGCATACCGTAGCAACTTCCTGTTAATCTCCACAAGTAGCCTGTCCCTTCTTCCAGAGGATCTAGACTCCCTTATTTCTTCCAGAGTTTTGACAGTAGCTCCTGGTTCATCCACACTGGTCTTCTCCTATGGCTTGCCTTGCAGCATTCAGGGACAGCCTGATCTTGCACCTTTAAGATTTCCATCTTGAGGAGCATCCAGGCTTCCTGGATCCCGTTACCCTTAAGGAGTGACTCCCAAGGGACCCGTGCTACAAGCATTCTGAACTGCTAATTAAGAAAGATCAGGAGGGTAGGGATAAAATGGATAAAACATTATCTGTTTGTATGGGGGAGACTTGGCTTTGCCTTCGTTTCAGTCCAAACTGTTAACTAATTACAGCAACTGACAATGTACGAAATAATATCTTTTAAAGAACCAAAGATTTAATCATGAAAAAAGTTGGTTGTCAGTGCATATAAATACTACAGTCATTATCTTAAAAACTCAGTCACTTCATAATTGTCTTTCAAAATTCAAGAACCAATTACAGGAATGAGAATGATCTTTGACAGTAAATTGTACATTACTGAGTTGTGTTTTGTTAAGTCTCCCAGGTAAAGGCAAATCTTGCTGTTTCATTTATATACTGCTACTGTTTCTGACAGCTCTCACTTTTTTCTACAATGCCTTATTAGACTCAAAGCACACTGGATGCAAAACACAATGATCAAAAAACATTCTTCTTGGAATCTTAAAAAAAAAAAAAAAAAAAAAGACATTATTAAAGGAAAAACGGATCCTGGGAAATCTTAATACAATATTAGTAATCATGGTATTATCTCAGCAGAGCAACAGGGCACAATTAATTGCACACTTGAATGCGTGCAAGCATTTTTTTCGTCTTAAATTACAGCAAATCAACACGATATATAATGAAAATAGACAAATTAATGCTTGTTAGGCATAAAAACAAATGTGTTTTTAGTAGACCACTACTACATAGCATCATGTATTAACTTGAGGACAACATATTTAGGCTTATATATAAAAAAAGAATTTCTGAAATTGCTTTAATTATGCATTAGAAATGGATATGCTGGTTTAGCCTCATGACAATAAATGTACTGATTAAAGCTACACAATAGATTTAAATAAGCTGAACTAAATCAAAACATAAAGAATTCTGGACAAAAAAAAAAAACAAAACAACTTGTGTGATGAGACTTTGGTGTTGTGGCCACATTCTGTAGTTTAACCTGATACAACTTCATCCTCATCAGAGTTTTGAGGTGCTGGCTTTGAATGGGACTGAAAAAAAAACAGCAGAAAGTGGTAGTTTGAGATTCTGCCACTAGATAAGCATCTCCACATATTCCCATTACCAGCCTCGCATCTCAACTAGGTTTTATCCTTACTTTCTTCATTACAACCCGCGTTATCCAGTGCTGGATAGCTGCATAGCTTGCTAATTTGACAGACATTAATTCTAATCGGAAGTATTACTTCTCAGCTGCTGCTTCAGTGTTAATCGTATCAGTGTAACCTGTAATAAGGTACTCATTGCTTCGTAGCCCTCTGGTAAAAAATTGCTTTACCTGTACAGTTTGCAACGGCAGAAAGTGTTTTGTTTCAGCAAAAAGGAGGGAAAGTTCCTCATTTCCATTGGTGTACTGCAGTAAAAAGATGTACTTCTCTATAGTGCTTGAAAAGTTTTTTGAATCTCAAATTTGCAGAGGAGTGAGAAATTTCTGTCAAGCAAGAAATGCAGGCTGTCCAAGTGTTCAGTTACTCTCAAAGTCACAAAGTAGAGTGGGAATTAAAACAAAGTTTTTACTCTGAACTTTTATAATTGCTGTAGAATTGACAGCAGAAGAGAAAGAAGTATCGTACACACACTAAGTTCAGGAGGCTGTCTATTGCTACTGCTGGCGTGAAACTGCCTGAATGCCTTCTGTTTCCAGTATGGACCACTTAGACCACAGTTGTGTTCTGGTAGGAAGCAGAAGCATGGCATTTACGCATCATTCCTATTAAGTGTGGCTAGCACATTACAATTCTGGGACTTGGACTGAATAAAAATGGATCAGTATTGCCTGGAACTTCCCTGTGTGGCTTTGCCTATTGCAGCATACATGTTCTTAAAATAGTCAATAGTTTTAGCTAAACAGGAAACTAACATCCATTTATTTGTCAGCTGCATAACATTCAATCTCATGATTATGTGGCTGAAATCAATTATTTTTTATTTTTAACAAAAGTTTTTATTTTTAACAAAAGTTGTATCATACAGGCTTAGTGACAAGGCAAGTAGAAGTACCACAGGTACCACAGGTATACCACAGTACACCACTGTACTTGTTATTTCTGTGGTCTTTGGACTATGTAATTTGTAATTTGTAATGACTGCACTCTTGGACAATTGCAGTTTCCTAAACCAGAGGTGTTCTTGAAGTTTGAATAGCTTGAATAGCTTTCTGTTGCTATAAATGTCAAAACCAATGCAGGACTGAATGTGTCTAAACCCATTCCTTATTGTAATGGCAGCTTCTACTGAATTGTCAGTTTTAAAGCTTGAAAATTCATGAAATTTTTGTTTAAATATCAGCTTTTACTTACTGGGGTTTAAATTAGACTGCTATCCAATGTCTGTGTGCATGCTCTGTGGAGCAAGAGACCTCATAGCAAACATCCAGACATTGACATCAATGAGATACTTACTGCCAGAGAGTATCTGAAGCATTTCTTGAATAGGTGGATCCCCTCCTGCAGTCTCTGCTACTGAGTGTTGACTCCCAGTTTTTCTCTCACATTTGTAACTACCCTTCATAGTATAGAAGCAGGCTCACCAATTATAGAAGATTGCTTATTTCCTCTGTATTGCCAAGTACTGATTTTCAGAAATCAACAATAGCATAATATACCCCCCTTATTGTCAAGAAGGGAATAATTCAGAAAAGCAGAACTCTGTTTCCATGATTAAGAGATTCTCTGTGTTTCAATCTTTCTCCAAGTTCATCTGCACATGACAGACAGTTATCCAGCATGCTTCCTTTTACAAATATTTCTATGCAGGTAGCCCTCTTCCACATGGTATACCAACATCCCAAAGCTTTAACAGAACACCAGAGTAGATGGGAGCCATCCCGTGACACTGTTGGAAATCAGCACTGTGCTCCAGCTGCTGCCCCGCACCTCCCCATGCTCAGTGCGCTGTATGCACATCCTCACCTCCTGAGCACATCAGGGAGAGCTGGTGATGAACACACTCTGTTCCTCTGTCCGTCTCCTGGCCCAGGACAGCTACTGCGGATCAGACCAGTGCTGTTGCCAAGCACAGAAACAAGCGACAACAAAATTGGAGATCACACAGCTCCTCTTGCAAGAAAGAGCAATGCTCCATCTATAGTTTGCATGGGAGCTGCCACCACTGTCTCCTGTCTCAAAATGGTTTCCCTTTCCATTCTTCCAGCACCAGTCAGCTCAGGCTGGATGAAGAAAGGGGAAAGCTAAGAAGGAAAATTATCTCTGTCCTCATTTATCATTTGAATGCCACTGACTCCTGCACGAACTGTTATCAGTTGGTTTTATGGTAACAATTACAATACTTGCTCTGGGTAACTACATGAGATCTTTTTGTGAATGGGTAAAAAGAAATTAAAGTATAATATTTTCTCTTGTTTGAAAGTGAACAGCTCCATTCCTGCTATGGAATCAGAGTCCCAACATGCTGTCGCAAAAAAACCAATGCTGCTGACCTGGAATGAATGACCAATAGCAACCTGTAATACCTGCAGGCCCACAGCCTATGACTCTGAAACACAATTACACTGTCATGCCAGCAGGAACTGCTGGTGAAAGCTTTTATATTAATAATGATTTATAAAGTTTCAGCTTCATAAATCTGCATTTCTTGTGTAACATAGAAAACAGTAAGGATCAAGGACTTGTGCTGCATCTTACATTCAGATTTTTTTGTCTTTGGCAGTGAACGTTGTAGCAATATTGCAAGAGTTCTGGGAAAGCAAACAGAAGTCAGCCGTACTTCCAAGTGAAGGCATCATTGTGTATGAGTCATTGAGCAGCCTGGGCCCGCCATTTGTGAGTTATGTTACCTTGCCTGGAGGAAGTTGCTTTGGTAACTTTCAGGTAAGTGTCAACTTCCAATCTTTGTCAGGGGACATTTTTTTCTGAAAAGAGTTTTGCTATGGAATATACAGGGCAACTATTTCTATAACATAGTATTGCAATTCCATACCTGACTCTTCCAGCCTAGCACTGTCCCATATCTCAGTGATTTCAGAGCGACAAACTAACTGAAAGAAAATAGCACGGTTCTGGGAATTAATTGGGCATGGAATGATTTTACTAACCTCACTTCTGTTTTCTAAAAAAAACCAACAACAGAGAACATTATGTGTAATTCAAATGTTTGCCGGTTAAATCTAAGACCAAAATTTGTGTTCTTTCTTTCCCTGAGGAAACAATAAAATCTGATATGAGGGAGAAATAGCTTTGTATTTCATTTTTTTATTCAATGTGAAGATACTTCTCACTGTAGCAGTATGTCCCCATAATATGCACCATCCTACTCATGCTAACACTGTGCTAACATATAAAAACAGGGATCAAATCTAACCAGGGCCACATCAGGTTTCTCTTGCAATGAAAAACAACATTGGAACTAAATTTGATGTCTCCAGAAGGAGGAAGGTTACCTTGTAAAGCACTCAATCCTCTATCTTCCTTTCAATAAATAACATCTTAAGCATGAATTCTACAGGCACTGATATTATGATTCGTCTACTTAGGATGTGGAAGTTGGGCCTACACAGAAAGTTTCAATGATTCATCTTGAGATCTTCAACAACCAAATAACTAGGATAAAATCAGAATTCTTTCCAGAATATCAGTTGCAATTTTAGTTGATTCTTCCAAACTCCGTCTTTTTTCACTAGATTCATCCAGAATGTATTAATGTATTTCTATATATAGCCATCTTCCTTCTTCTTACTTTTTTTTTTTTTTTTTTTAGAAAAGGCAAGGAAGAAGTCACTAAAAACTAATTGCAAAGACAATGCTGTTTGTTACTCTATGGCCAGCCTGTGTACATATCCCTAATAACCGTCTGATGCCTACCACCAATCTGTCCTCTCTGTAAAGGCCAGTACAAAAGCACCTCAATATCACAACATGCTTGTTCATTGGTGTGTAATGTGTAGATGTAATCCATTAGGATCTAGAACCAGACATAACTGCTGTTAATTGAAGTATTTTAACCAATTTGAATGACATGCACATGTCTTTCGGATTACAGTACTTTAGCCTCTCTGCTGAACAGAACAAAATAACATTTTGGAAACTGAATGTTGCATTATGTGCTTTTGGGACATTAAGAGATTGGTTCTGTTCATGCTTTCAGGTAAATAGCATTACAACAATATATTAATTAATTGCCAATGTCTTAATTTATAGTTATACAGGCTCTCCATTTTCACATTGCTTAGAACTTTGTAGTTGTATTTACATCACTACATAACAGCAAGTAACACAGCATAGTAAAACACTACAAATGTCTCTGCACAACTCTTCTCACAAATAATCCTTTCTCCTGCCTAAAGACACGCAGGTATGTGTTACGTGATACACTTCATGGCACTTCACAGTCCAAAAACCTATTAATTTACTTAAGCATTTTAAATACCTTATTTTCCATTTTTGTTCTGGAATCACAAGCCATGACTGACCCTGTAAATTGCAATAATTGTCAGTTATGATAAAGGGACCAACATAAGGCCCATCTGATCAGCTTCTTGTTTCCCCTCTTGCTGAACTCAGGCATGAAACTGCTCCTGGCTTTAGCAGATGTTTTTGTTTTTAATTCCAGAAAGGAAATATGTAGAATACTTTGATTTTATAAATGCAGTGAAAAGTGCTTGCAAGTCAATCCCGGCTTTTATCTTTCTAAGTGAGATCATCTACAACAATGATGATCTCTTCTCTTGAACAATGTGTTTGTAGCTAACCAAGGATAGAAGCACTGAAAAATCCCTGAATTGACAATTCAAATATCAAGTTATTATTTGCTCATATACATGCTGGCGTTTCCTTGCTACTGTTAGTCAAAGTATGCTTTATAAGAAATGGTAATATCTCTTATTAGACAATATAATATCGCTGGGAGCAAAAAACGATTATCAGGTTCTGAGTGCATTAGAATGTTTTGAATCTGTAGGACTACAACATAAACACGTATATGAAATAAAAACTCTTTTTTCCCACTCCAATAAAAGTTTAATTGATTAAATAGAAAGTCATTATCTAGTGAATATTCTCTTAGTTACGCCATAGATTACTGTGGTCACAACAATATTAATACTATCAAAACTGCTACAAGTTTTAAATTAGTACTACAGGTACTAATTTTACTAGAATTTTTTTTACTAGAATTAAAAAGAGCACAAATTATTTCCTTCAATATTCAGCACTCAATACACAGCACAAATTCTGTCTGACTCGTTATGAGGCAGGGTGAATAATGGGAACGTTGCTTCTTGGTATATTGATAGAAGACAAAATAAAGCTGGGCAACAAAGAGGCTTGGTAATTGCATAAAGCACCAGTTTCCCACTCCAGCTCCAGGTTACAGCCTTCTCTAAAATATATATTTATAAAAGTGGATAATTAGTTAAATATTTCCTCTGTTTTCTTCAGTCCATGTGACGTTACTAGCTTAAAGACTCAGTTCAATCCTTGTTAAGCATTTTCACAAGGGCCAGAAGTCAACTGTTAAAAATCAAAAAGATCAGTACTCTCTGATCTTACAGTAGATGTTTCTAGGTTGTATATAGTTATGTACTGTACAGTCATAATGGAGCAAGACAGAGCAGTTAGATGGTATCAAAAATTTGTAACCAAAGAATCGTAAAATGGTTTGGGTTGGAATGGACCTGTAAGACACCTATTTTCAAACCCCTGCTATAGGCAGGGACACCTCCCTCTAGACCGGCTGCTCAGAGCTCCATCCAACCTGGCCTTGAATGCTACCAGGGAGGAGGCATCCACAACCTCTCTGGGCAACCTGTTCCACCTTCAAAGTAAGGAATTTCTTCCTAACAACAAGTCTAAATCTGTCCTCTTCCAGTTTAAAACTATTTCTCCTTGTCCTGTCTCTACATGCCCTTATAAAAAGCTCCTCCCCAGTTTTCTTGTAGGCCCCCTTCAGGTAAAGAAAGGCCGCTATAAAGGTCCACCTGGAGTCTTCTCCAGGCTGAAGAACGCAGCCCTCTTACTGTCCTCGCAGGAAGGTGCTCCAACCTCTGATCATCTTCGTGGCCGTCCTTTGCACCCTTCCTGTCCTTGTGTTGGGGGCACCAGAACTGGACACAGCACAATGGGGTCTCAGTGAGCAGAGTTGAGGGACAGAATTACCCACACTCCTCTTGATGCAAGCCAGAGTACAGTCAGCCTTCTGGGCTGCAAGCACACTTTGCTGACTCATGTTGAATCTCATCAACTGACACCCTCAAATCCTTCTCCTCAGGGCTGCTTTCAAGCCATTCTCAGCAAGTAGAAACAGGCTATAATGAAATGTCTGTGCTTTTCCGACAGTTTAACCTACTGAGAACAAAGAGCTATCATCTCTAAGATAAAGAGCTAAGGTTTACTTTCCCTGTTTCCAGCATGTCTGTAAAAGCAGGATGAACCTTCTTCATTGTGCCTTGGATCAACACCTCCTCTTTCCTCTGGGGACGAAGAGTACAGCTTTGTTACCTTTTCCAGCTACAAACATCAAAACTGCTGAAACACAGCATGTTGAAGAGAGAACATGGCTACCAGTATTCCACGGTATATTGCACCACTACAGTGCAGCAGACATTGCCCTCTCTATCCCACTCAATGACTGTCAGAGACCTCTGCTGCAATTCCCAACACAAATTCAACTTCATATAATACCCGACTTCTCTGTAAACCAGAGACAAAGTTCCTATACCCTTAATTAATACCTTTGTCTTTTGAGAAATTACATCAAGATTGTGCCATTTTAGTCATTTTTTCAGGATTGGGAGGAAAAAAATAAAGGGAAAAAACATCACAGAGAAAAGTCATATGTCAACACTTTAAAATATGATTTCCATTTATGTTCAAGTTTTTATGGCTTCCATTATATTTAGTTAAATGTTAAGAATCTTTCCCTTCTTCCAGATTTGTAAATCTCTTGATCTTTCAAAACTAACCATTTGCTTATAAATATATAAAGACTCTTTGATCTGCTGCTTTGCTGGTATTACTTAAAAATGAATGGTTTTCTTTTATCTCTCATTTTAACTGGATTTCATCTGCACAAAGATGGTTTAAATCCAAATTGTTTGGCTTGGTTTAGATTATAACATTTATTGTTGAAAGCACATAGAAATCTAAGTTCTTAGAATTTTACAGAACAAAATCACATGCAACTTGCAAAAGAATCTTTAAACATAATGAAGGAAAAATACACAGTGTTGAAAAATTTGACCTGAGCAGCTTGAAAGGAATGTAAAAGGGTTAGATATTTTACATTTTCATAAAGATCCCAGCTTCTGAAAGAGCATGACAGGAAAAACTGAAATGAAATACAAACTTAATTTCATACTAAAAATCACATTTTTTGGAAGAAAAAAATTATTTAAAATGGCTTTTTAAAAGGTAGGGTAAATTGGTTTTTATAATGAAAAATGTTCTACCTGATTAAAAGATAAGCATTTTGTAATTTATTTACATATTTTAATGAAAATTACTTGTTTCAGAGAACTATGCTTCCATTTTCATTGCACGTCAAAAATCAGCAGTTTTCTTGATCACAACCAGTTACTATATTATTTAGAAGTCTCCCAGCGTATTTGCACTTCTTATCAAAATGCATAGAAACAACCTGGTAGAGTTAAACCAATTGTGCCAGATACTGAATACCTGTAGGCCTGGAGAAGGAAATAAAAAAGACCATGGAAGAATCTGCGGATGCTGCTGTAAACGAACACGAAAAGTATGCATTTCACAGAGTGGCAGAATGACAGGGGTTGGAAGGGACCACAAGTGATCATTCTGTCATATCAGACATTGCAAACTAAGATGAATGACTAGCTAATGTACCAGTTAAAGTAAGATAAATTCCTCAAGTGCGGCACAGCGTACTCGCCATGAAGAAAATTAGATGTTGAAACTCTAAATATGTTAATGTTTCTTGCTATCTGAAATGTACTCAGGCAATTTTAAAATTTGGTCTTCCTTCACGTCTAGTAAAATTTTATTCAGCAAATCTCTATTAAGATGGCTTTGTTCTTGGTAAGCCCTGGCAGGTTCTGACTTGCCCTGTTATTTCACTCTGTGCAAAATGTAGGAGAGGAACACAGTGATGCATTGACTTGGTTGTTTTCCTAACACTTCATTCTGTATTAAGAGAGTGGAAATCATATGTCAATCAGTTGTTTAAAAAGACTAGTATTTTTTATATAATTATTATTACAGTAAAATCTAGTATTATTCTCATACCATTCCTTATAAATTACTGTGAGGTTCAGAGGCAGAGCCAAAAGAACGGACAAATCAAAGTTTGAGGATGATTGCTTTTCATTGTAGCATCACTGAATGGCCATAGCTGATTCGGCAGGTAGTGCACAGAACATCTGCTCTCTGTCTCTATCTTGATTGCCGTGCTGTTAGCCAGATTTGAGATTTGAAAAGAGTTTCACCGTTCAGGCAAGTTGACATAAATCCTTCAAGGCATTTTTTTAAGCCTTCTCAAAAGCTTGGGGTGCAGTTCATCTTCTAAGATCATATGGACTCCATTCATACAATCCATTCCCTGTAGTTGCTGAAGCTCAAGCATGGCTGGTGCTTTCGTCTCTACTTTTCACTGTCTGTGGCATACAACTGTGTCTTGTAAAATCTGTGATAAAGTTAAAATCCTGAGCTTGATGTGGGGAATTGGGTGAGCCCTGGTGACATATGTAACATGGGAGGCAAGATAAGGTAAGTTTCCTGTGTTTAGACAAAATGTTAGAAGCATAACATTTTGTCCAGGTCATGCCATACAGCTCATGTTTAGGAATCTCCATTGCCTCCAAAGTGAGTAAAATCCTGATTTTATTAAAAATATGAGTGCATTGTTTGCTTGTTGAGAGTTAAGAAATTTTCATGCTCTATTACAAGACCAGATAAGTAGTCTTCAACTGAAACTTCTGAAGGCCAAAGTAAACGCACAGAGTAGACCCTCTGTTAGCTGTGAGAGGACAGCAGATGTCAGCACTGGCAGTTCATGCAGCTATGCAGCAAAGCAGGGCAAACAACTTTATTTTCAAGTTCCTCCTTTCCACTGTCCAGAGTCTCCACAAAATTCGTAGAATATTTGGTTCAAAAGAGGCATAGGATAGCATCACTGGGAAATCAGAGGTGTCACTCTACTTCTGGATTTTAAATTATGGTTGATATTGAAGGAAAAAAAAAAAAAAAAAGAAAACATTTGGGATGCATTTTCACTGCAAAATATTTTGTAAACTTAATTCACTCTCAGCTTGGCTGTTGCTAGAAAGTATGCTAAGCAGCAAATTAATGTTTGCAGTAACTATTAAAAAATCCAATTGAGGGTTACAAAAGTTAAAGAATTTTGATAAATTAATGTTTACTTAAACCAGTAATTTTTATGAAGATTTCTGGCAAAGCTAGTTGGTTCTCAGAAAAACACCAAAGTGTTGGTTCTCAGAAGTCAGATTTTATGATAAAAGCAATTATTAATAGTATAAATAATATATTTTAACTCTAATTTACTTTGAGAGGCAAAAAAACGCACATAAAAAATGCAGTGGGAAATAAAGGTTTCATCTGAGACCTGTAAAACTGCTTATGTGCTTTTACAGAGCTGCTTAAGCAGAGCAGAGGCAAGGCGAGATGCTGCAAAAGTGGCTCTGATCAACTCTCTCTTCAATGAATTGCCCTGCCGCAGAATCACGAAGGAATTCATCATGGAAAGTGTTCAGGAGGCTGTTTCTTCAACAAGTGTAAGTCAAAAAAATCAGGGGGGAATCATATGATCTTGTAGATAAAATGCCTGCTAACTATCAGTGAGCAAAAAGAGCACACATGAATGGTATTAACGAATAGAAGATGCAAGATTATGATTCTCTGCTAGTAGATTTTCCACCAGTTGACAAAAGTCAAGGTCTTACTGTTTTTTCACTTTCGTAGTAATAAAGATTATCGATTTTATTAAAATTACTAAATTAGGAATTAAAGCATCCGTTTTTTAAAGTTGTGTTAGTCCTTAAAGCTCACTGCAATTTTTTAATTTTTTTTTTTTTTTTTTTTAGTTTATACCTAGATAAAATATTTATAGTTCAGAACACTACTACATAGCAAATATCATTTCAGAATGCTCTAAATCCTTAGGAATGAAAGTACTGCTTTGCTAAAAGACATGTATTGTGAGTTAAGGAAAGTTTAATTGAATTTACTTTCTGCTAGCAAAAGATATTTCTGATAAGAAGTGTGGAAGAGACTTTTTAAATTTTGGAAATATCACTATTTTCTTCTGGATTTCTTTTTAGATAATCTGTAGTGCTCTCCTGCTGAGTGTACTCCCTTACAGGATATATTTGGGAAGGGATGTAGAAACAGATGAGCATAAGGAGGTCCAGTCTGTATCTGTTTTATAGATGAAAGAATGGTTTTCTTTTACAGTACTGAGAATTTTATACATTACAGAGGGACAAAAATCCATAAAAGTGAGGAAAAATAGAACATGATTTATTTGTGTATGAAATTTAAAGGGAGTTTTTGACTTCAGTAATTTATCACTTTTATGGAAATTTTTGAGCTAAAAGGTTATATGCTTCACAGAGTTCTGCCTGGATTTCCTTAGGGATATTTAAAAGCCAGCATAAATATTTCAACAGCATCGTGTTAACGCTACAACATTCAAAAGCCATAAATTTTCTTTCAGTTCAGTGGAACCATATTGGGTAGAGATCTGTTTAACTTTCTGAAGTTGCCATTGAACACCTGGGGTTATGCAAAGGAATCTGTGCAAAATTATCTCACGTTCCTTTTTCTAGGTTTTCCCCTAAAAAGGAGCTTACAGGTTGCCCAGGGAAGTTGTGGATGCCCCATCCTTGGAGGCATTCAGGCTGGATGTGACTCTGGGCAGCCTGATCTGGTGGTTGGTGGCCCTGCACATAGCAGTGGGGTTGAAACTAGATGATCATTGTGATCATTTTCAACCCTGGCCATTCTATCATTCTGTGATTCTATGAAAGAGACGAAACTCAGCCCCTTCCTGTATCTGGGTAATTAATGCAGCTTTTGAATTCTACTGAAAAAGTGAATGTAAAACTATGGATCGTATTATTAGCATGCCCATAGCTGCACTTTATTGAGTGTACTCATTACTATATGTACACTTTATGAGATGCAAAACCTGCACTGTCAGGTTTGTTGAACTAGGAGTAAGTGTTTCTTAAGTACCTGGAACTAGACAGAATTGATTTAACTGAAGGAACGTTTTGTTGATTCATCTCAAGCAATTATGACTTTAGATGGATGAACACCACACAGAGATCAGGAGGTAGACTCTCCCATTAATAGTGCACTGGGACAGCAAAGATTAGGTAAAGAGAAGCAGGTCTTGACATAAAGTTATTGTATGCTGCTGAGCTACTAACCACTGCCAGTTTATTTTAGAAGTGTTCAGGGGGTACTGCTCCAGTTCATAAGCCAAAACTTGCTTCAAAACTCTAGTCTGTCATTATAGTCCCATAGTCAATTTATATTGAAGCTGGAGAGTATTATATCTTTTTGATTTAGAAGAGATAAACAAGTCTGGGCAGAACAATAAAAAATTGCTTCCCCTTCTTGCCTTTCTCAGGTCATATTTCTTTCCATTCTTACACCTGAAAGAAGATTTTGTTAGAGCTCCAGATCAGATAACTTTGCCTATATAATTTTCCTTTTTATAAAGAAATTGATAATTCCAGATTGCATTTTTCTCCATCTTCTTTACAATAACAATTTTTTTTTTTTTGGGGGGGGGGAGGCGGAGGGGGTGGGTAGCGAACAGGGGGAACGGTTAGAAAATATCTCAAAGCATTTAATGAGCTCTGTAAAATTGTTTTCCTGGAACTTTCTCCTGCTCTATAAATCATCCTTCTCCTTTTCTGCTGGGCACAGGCAAGGGTCTTATTTCCTCTGCATTACAGTGTTGAGATATTTTGCGAAGTATCTGAGCTGTAGCAAGCACCAAGACAGAAAAACTGCACACCAATAATCAGTCTAGTGGCTGTGTGGATAGATACAGAGGAGCTCTTAAGAAGGTAATGTGAAAATCATACATACAAGACCTACAAGGAAGTACATCAGTTAAACTGACTAAAAATGTATCAGCAGGAGAGTGATTTGAGAAATGTCAGTAGGAAGACCATGGGGGTATTAGCTAAGGAAGCCTTTTGCGTGCTAACTGCTTACTGCAAATCAAATACTAAAGCGCTTCCAGTTAATCCCACGTGTTTCCTCCTTTCAGCAATCAGTGTGTCACTAAGCACTTCAGCACTCTCATTTCACAATCAGATAGTACACTAAATATTGATAAAATGAGTAGTTTCTATGGTAATTGTGATTTGCAGAAACAGGCTCCCAAATTGCTTGCTGGGGAAAGAAATAGAGGGGAATTAAAAATGTCTTGGGTTAGCAGTATTAAGACATGTTATTGACTATAAAATATACAACCATAAATCAACTACTTCCTTTCTAATCACATTCTCTTGTTTCTTCCCAAAGGGTAACCTGAAGGATGCTGATGACCCCAGCACTAGTATTGGAGCTTATCATTACATGCTGGAGTCAAACATTGGAAAGACAATGCTGGAATTTCAGGTATAAGAAGTGGGTTCTACATTATTCACCTCTGAGTGAAGAAACTTAAAGACTAATTTCAAATAGAATTCATTGCATCAGAGGCATGCTGAGACCATAGAGCATGAGAGAAAACTGGATTTAGATCAAGTCTGAATGTCCAAAGGTTAACTTCAAAACTGCACTACAGTAAGTCAAGTGTCAACAACATGTCTGCAGTATTAGCAAAGAGTAGTGTCCCTTCCAGCTGATTACATGCCCTGAAATATTATCTGCACAGTGCTGAGCCTAAAATTCATGTATAGTAATATGGCCTTTTTGATTCCATATCCTAATAAAAAATGTCACACTAAATCTACATTACTGGAGAAAATACTGTGATCACTGACCTTATACTGGGTTGGTACATCCTGACAAGTGAGCGCTTGACTTCCTGCACTGGTATTCAAAAGAAAATCTGAAAGTACTGTACTGAACATGAGTGAATGAATTGCCACACACTGTCTAACGTAATATGTTGAAGGTCAAATATTCTTGTAATGACAGTCATTTCAAAGGTGTGGTGACCAGTTCTGGCCCTCTGTCAGAACCTTTCTAAAATTAATTCCAGTTGAAAGAAGTTTGATTCAACACTTCAGAACTCATATTCTGAACTACTAACAAAATCTCCAATGCTTTATTACAGCTGTCTAAATTATCAAATTATGTGTAAAACCTTCATGCACAATTATTTAATCTAGGCACCAAAGTAGACCCAGATATTTTTGAGTTTATTTTTCTTACATTTGACTAAGTGTGAATTGATTGATGTGATGTCGTATAGACTTCAACTGCCTACAATATGCTGTAGGGTTTTGATTTTTATTGGTGAATAGCACAAGTTAACTGGGCATAAGTGCTGTATGTTATGAGTACCATTCTGCTTCATCTTCTGAGTGCAATCAAGGTGCAGTTGTGTGTAGGTTTCAGATGTGTGAAGTAGAGAACAAATTCAGGAAAATAGTCTGAATATTTCTAGAGCATGCCTTTTTTTAACTGCATGTTTACAGAAGCCTACATGTTTTGGCTGAGCTGTAAGTAGCACCTCACAGTGGCACATCTAACAAAGAGTGAGAAAAGTGTCATCAGGGAAAAGCTGCCCTATTTACTTAATGTCATAGGTAATGTCAGAGTATCTATGATATTTACTTAATGTCATAGATACTGCACTCAAGATGATAAACTTTCAGGAGACTTGCTGGGGCCAAAGTTATGTAATTCTGAAGTCTGATCTTATGCCTTCTTCTCTCAAGATGCACTTCATCCAGGGATGGAATTTCAGAAACGACCATCTTTAAAGATGCTTTGGGGACTTTGCATTTTGGGCTTGTATGTTGATTTATTTTGTTTTTGTTTCCTGAGGTAAAGAAAAGGGAATGAGTAAAGAGATAGATGTAAAGAACTGAATATTTAGGTCAGATCTTGGGTTAAACAGTACCTGTTCATAATGACATAATGAATTTTCTTGCACAAAATCTTTACATGTAGTAAAAAAAGGAGTTATTTTTATTAATTGTGAGAAATAATTCAAATAATTTTTTGGAGGCCGGATCTCTTGTGAAAAAGTTTTGATTCGTGATTACAGTGGCCGGCATTCTGCAAGCCAGCGTGCCTGCTGTAGGAAAAACAAGCTCTTCTATCTCCTAGATCTCAACACTGAGTTTCTCCCCTGCTGCCAGATTCACATTCTTCATGCACAATCCTTGGTAGTTGACAAATTCCGTCTGTCTTTGTTTCTCCAAGTAAGCGGAATTCATGAAATAGTGACCAGGCCAGTACCTTCTGCCATATGTCTTGCCAGATAAGTTTGTCTCTTCTTGCAGAGTCCTGGGTGCAGATGTATGTCTTACAGTCCTTATCTTTGGTCATTCCTAACTCACCCCCACAATCTCCCCAAGGGAGGAGCGCACACAAATTAACATGCCAGCCACACTCTCCATTTATCTGTCCACAGACAGAAAATTATCTTGTATCACAGGTTCTGAGGTATGTCCCTTGGGTGCAACATTCTATTACTTACGCAAAAATCATACATCATTTCCCACACCATCAAATTATGATCCTTACTATGAATGAAGTACAGCTGTATTCAAGACATTAGGTCAACACCACCAGGTATACTGCTCCTGGTGTCTCGGTCTGAAATGTGAGATTGTGCAGTTAATTTGTGTGCTCTTACTTTCTTTACAAGACCACTTCCTTTGTCTATTAACTATGTCCATCTCAAGTGTATATAAAATTCATTGTAATACAAGCAGTCTCCTGCATAAGCAAAAACTAATAATGTAGCCAAGTTTATAAAAGAATCATAGAATCATAAAATTACTCAGGTTGGAAGGGACCTCAAGGATCATGAAGTCCAACTGCAGCCTAACCATAGTACCCTAACTCTAACAACTCTCTGCTAAATCATATCTCTGAGCACCACATCCAAACGGCTCTTAAACACATCCAGGGACGGTGACTCAACCACCTCCCTGAGGAGCCTATTCCAATGTTTAACCACCCCTTCTATAAAGAAGTGTTTCCTAACATCCAACCTAAACTTACCTTGGTGCAACTTGAGGCCATTTCCCCTTGTCTTGTCATCTGTCACCAATGAGAAGAGACCAACCCTGCTCTCACTATAAGCACCTTTCAGGTACTGGAAAAGAGTAATAAGGTCTCCCCTCAGCCGCCTCTTCCCCAGACTAAACACCCCCAACTCCCTCAGCCTCTCCTCATAGGGCTGATTTTCCAAGCCCTTCACAAGCCTTGTTGCCCTTCTCTGGACCAGCTCCAGTACCTCCATGTCCTTTCTGTACTGAGGTGCCCAAAACTGAACACAGTACTCAAGGTGAGGCCTCACCAGTGCTGAGTACAGAGGCAGGATGACTTCCCTAGTCCTGCTCACCACACCATTTCTGATGACATTCTGATGAAGCCAGGATGACATTGGCTTTCTTGGCCACCAGGGCACACTGCTGGCTCATGTTCAGCTGACTGTCCATCAGAACACCAAGGTCACTTTCCATCAAGCAGCCTTCCAGCCACACCTCCCCAAGCCTGTAGCGTTGCCTGGGGTTGTTGTGACCAAAATGCAGGACCCGACACTTGGCCCTATTGAAACTCATGCCATTAACCTTGACCTGTTGATCTAGTCTGTCCAGGTCCCTCTGCAGTGCCCGTCTCCCCTCTGGTAGATCAGCACTCCCTCCCAGCTTGGTGTCATCTGCAAACTTACTGAGGGTGCACTGAATCCTCTCATCAATGAAGATATTAAACAGAAGCGGCCTCAGTACTGAGTCTTGGGGGACACCGCTCTTGACCGGCCACCAGCTAAATCCAACTCCATTGACCACGACTCTTTGGGCCCACCATCCAGCCAGTGCTTCACCCAGTGGAGCGTACACCCATTCAAACCATGGGCAGCCAGCTTCTCCATGAGAATGTTATGGGGGACAGTGTCAAAGGCCTTACTGAAGTCCAGGTAGACCACATCGATAGCCTGACCCTCATCCACTAAGCAGATTATCTTGTCATAGAATAAAATCAGGTTTGTCAGACAGGATCTACCATTTGTAAACCCATGCTGACTGGGGTTGGACCTTTAATTGGTCCATGATGGCTCCCAAGATTATTCGTTCTGTAATCTTCTCGGGCACTGAGGTGAGACTGATAGGCCTGTAGCTACCAGGATCATCTTTCCAGCCCTTTTAGAAGATGGGCATCACATTTGCCAGTTTCCAATCCACCGGGACATCCCTGGTTAGCCAGGACTGCCGAAAAATGATGGAGAGTGGCTTGGCATTCACATCTGTCAACTCCCTCAGCACTCTAGGGTGCATCTGATCCCATGGACGTGTAAGCATCCAGCTTTTGCAGAAGGTCCAAATCTATCTTGTCACGGATCATGAAGGGCTTATTCTGTTCCCCATCCCTATCTACCAGCGCAAGGGGCTGTGTTCCCAGGGAGTAACAAGTCTTACTATTAATGACTGAGGCAAAGAAGTCATTAAGTACCTCAGCCTTTTCAATGTCCTTGGTGACCAGGTTGCTCTCGGCATCCAACAAGGGATGGAGATTCTCCCTAGCCTTCCTTTTGCTATTAATGTGTTTATAAAAGCGTTTACTGTTTTCCTTTTCCTTAGTGGTCAAGCTCAGTTTTAACTGCGCTTTGGCTTTTCTAATTTTCTCCCTGCACAGCTTCACTACATACCTGTAATCATCATAAGAGGCTTGCTCACTCTTCCAGAGACCATAAACTTTCCTTTTGTTCTTGAGTTTCAGCCGAAGGTCTCTGTTCAGCCAGCCTGGCCTCCTTGCCCATCGGCTCGTCTTCCGTGACATGGGGATGGTCAGGTGCTGCACCGTTAAAACAATTTCCTTAAAATATTCCCAGCCTTCCTGGGCTCCCACGCTCTCCAAAACTAACTTCCAAGGGACCCTCTCAAACATGGTCCTAAAGAGGTTGAAGTCCGCCCTCCAGAAGTCCAAGGTGGCAGTTCTGCTGACTCCCCTCCATTGTTCAACAAGGATACAGAAATCTAGCATCTCACATGATCACTTTGCCCCAGATAGTCTCCAACCTTTACATCCCCCACCAGACCTTTTCTGTTAACAAACAGCAGGTCCAGGATATTGCTTCCTCTCATCGGCTTCCTCACCAGCTGTGTCAGGAAGTTATCTCCCACACACTTTAGGAACCTCCAGGACTTTCCCTGTCATCTGTTCCAGCAGATGTCTGGGAAGTTGAAGTCCCCCACCAGAACAAGGGGGAGTGACCTAGAGACCTCACCCAACCGTTTATAGAGCATCTCGTCCACCTCTTCACCCTGGGTGGGTGGCCTGTAGCAGACTCCCACAATAATGTCAGTCTTGTTGGCCTTTGGTTTTATTCTGATCCATATGCTCTCAACATCAACATCATCAACATTATTAATTTCCACACATTCGTAGTCTTTTCTAACATAGAGAGCTACACCACCACCTTTCCTACCCAGCCTGTCTCTTTTGAAAAGCCAGTAGCCCTCCATCACTGCATTCCAGCTGTGGGAGTTGTTCCACCAAATTTCCGTGATGGCAACTATATCATAACTTTCTGAACACACAATGGCCTCCAGTTCCTCTTGTTTATTACCCATGCTGCATGCATTAGTATAAAGACACCTGAGCTTGGTTTCCTTGCGAGTGGCAGTAACCCTGGTTCCCTCATGACCACACTCAGGTGTTTCCACAGCCACCAGCGTCACACCTGCCCTTGTGTTCTTCCTACAAAGGGGTGAGTCATCCTCCTCTTCCACCAAGGCACAAGACCATGGGGTCTTACAAGAGCATCCTTCTCCTGCAAGCACAGGAACGTTACATTCAGGCTCTGTATTAGTGACCCCAGTTACACTCCCACCCCTCTTCGTACCTAGTTTAAAGCCCTCTGAAGGAACCTAGCCAACTCCTGTCCAAAGACCCCTCTCAACCGGTGGGAGAAGCTCCTCCTATCAGCCACTAGCTGGCTCAGTCTTATGTAAACAGAGCAGAGGTCAAAAAACCCAAACCCCTGCCGGGCACACCAAGCTCTGAGCCAGGTATTAATCCGTTGGCCCATTATTTCGAGTCCCTCATTATTCCCTATAGCTGGAGGGATAGAGGAGAACACAACTTGTGCTCCTGAATCCTTTACCTGTCTCCCCAAGGCTCTGAAATCCTTTTTCAGCGTCCTTAGGGAAGTTCTGCCTAAATCATCACTAACAACCTGAAACAACAGCAAGGGATAGTAATGAGTGGGCTGGACTAGGGAAGGAAGTGTCTTCCTCGTGTCCTTAACCCAGGCTCCTGGGAGGCAGCAGACCTCCCTGTGTAGAGGGTTTGGTCTACATATTGGCCCTTCTGCTCCCTTCAGCAGAGTGTCACCAATAACAATGACCTGTCATTTTTTCCTAGTCAGTGAAGTTTTAATGCTAGGCAAAGACTGGTCAGACTTAGGGTGCACCACCAACTGGGGAGAGCCATCATTACCACCACTGTCCAGTTGACCCTGAAGAGCACTGAACCTGTTTCACAGGGGCAGATGGGGGGGCTGGGGACTCACCGGGATGGCACACCTGCATCACTGAGCAGGGGCCTTATGCCACTGCCCTACATCCCGCAATTCTTTGCCGTTGTTCCTGGGGGATGGAGCAGATAGTGGGATCACTGCAGCAGGAGCACTGTCTGCATGTAGGTTCCCCTCTATCACCTGTTTGCAAGGTGGCATGGGGTTTACTTTTTTCATGCAGAGCCTCATCTGGATGCTGAGATCTAGGGGCTGATAGGGTTTGGTACCAGCAATCAATCTCCCTCTCACATTCCTTAATGCTCCTCAGCCTCTCCACCTCATCATGCAGGTTGGCCACAAAGCTGAGTAAGTAATTTACCTGGTCGCATCGTACATAATCTCCTTCACCTAGCACTGCAAGGGCCTGTAGTGCCAGGCTCTGGCACTCACTACAATCAGAGGACTGCACACCAGCATCTTGGTTTGGGATCTGTCTGAGTACCCTCATTGTTCTTGGCAGCAGCCTTCCTTTCGTATGTGTGTGGGGCACCAGTCTGGGTCTCCACAGTCTTCTTGGCTGCCGCCAAGGTTCAAGGAAAAAGGACTGAAATGTAGGAATAATTGTCAAGGTACCAGACAAGAAGAATATTTTGTACAGCCCATGTAAGCTCTACGTTTTCTATCTAATGTAAGGTAGATAATTTTAACAGTTTTATTGCTGAACCCTTTTGTCCTAATTTCTGTTTTGTCAGAAGACCACCAATCATCAAACTAAATCCAAAAATCCAGCTACAAGCCAATGCTTTTGGTCACATCAAAAGCAGTAAATGAACATGAGAAAAAACAGACTGAGATTAACTCTTCATTCTGCCCAGTTTATGGTTAGCATTTGAAAGAGAATCACTGGTGATGAAAATAATCCTTGTATATTACCAAGTTAGTCTTTATCTTTCTCTCTCCATCTCTAATTTAATTTGCAATGTGTTAGGAGCTCTCAAAAACACTGGGGCAGTGATTCAGTATCAGGGTAGGTACTCATTACCATGAGCAATGGTCAGGATTGACACATGTATATATATATTCTTCCTTAAGGTTTACTTTTCTCTCCCATTCCCCTACTTTCCATTAGCACCCACTGTAAATCTCCACAGGGTCTTGATATTATCAAAATAGGGCAATGCTAGCAATATGTTTGTTTTGGAACAAGTAATTTTAGAAGTATTAAATCTTTACAATGAGAAATCCAATTCCATCTAACCTAGCTCTATTCAATATAGCAGATATAATGACAACCCTCTCAGGGATCTCATTCAGTTCTTCTGTGCATAGTCTTGTTTAATAGCACCAGGTGGCCCATTAAACTGCATAAACTGTGTTTCAGGTGAAGCATTTGTTTTGTGTATTTACTGTGAAATAGCCCTTTTGTTTCAGAAAAAGACCAAAATGCCTGGAGGTTAACAGCCTCACCTCATGTAAAGAAAAACGAATACATGGATAACAATTTTGTTTAAGGCTACTGGATGTCTGCCATGAAATAAAAATCCCATCAGAAAAGTGATCAGTTAGATAGCAAATCTCATCCTTTGTGTGTGTGTGTAAAAATTTATTTGATGGCATTCTTTCTGTGATAGTCATCTATCTCAATTCAAAGTTTGGAAATTACCAAAACTAACAGAACGGTGATTTGGGGCAAGGATCTAAGGTTAATTTTAAGTATCATTGATACTTCACCAAATTAAATGTTATTTTGCAATGATTATAGAGACGTGACACAATGAAAGTTAGAAAGTAAATTAAACTGCCTTACTTCAATGTGCAGAAAATAGAAAATAAAATACTCAACACGGTGATCAAGAGTTTGCCATATTTTTAACGCTGGTGTCTGATAGCTAAAAAGCTCTAAATACGCAAGCACTATGACTAAAAGCAAGGTTGTAGTAGTCACCTAGAAGTAAGTAAAAGCTCCGACTGAGGGACTTAGAATATCAATATTTTACAGTACTCTATTTGCTTCAAAAGAGGAAACACTAGCTTTTAGCTACCCGTAAGTCTTTCATTATAAGTTTCATTATAACTAACACAAGGAGTTTGGATTAATTTTCCTTTGTCTCATCAACTTTAAACATAAAATCTGCTCTTTTTTTTTTTTTTTTTTTCTGTTAAGTACTGTGTTTTTTGATTATTTCAATGTGTGATCACATTTTGCAGGAGCTGATGATTGTCTTTCAGCTTCTGCATTGGAATGGAAGCCTTAAAGCCCTACGGAAAACAAAGTGCTCCCGGCAGGTAGGACAAGCCATTAAAAAGTTGACTGAGTAGTTAAATGTGTGAGGTTAAAATATGCAAGTTACTATTAGTAGTAGTACTTTTAATTTCTGAGTTAATGTATTTGTCCTTTATTTTGATTTATACAAGATTTAGAAAAGTTAATTTTTAAAATACTGTGTATTTTCTGTATTTGTCCCTTGATATCACTGCAAGAAAACCTTGGACTATTTCTCATTTTTATCTATCAACAGGCAGAAAATTCATTTGAGATAAATTGCAACCCTAACAGATTTTATCTTCTATTTTGGGTCAACACTTGAAAATGCAATACGTTGAAAAACTTCAAAATATTTTTAACTTGTGAAATTAAATTGTGTATTATGTTACAACCTACAAAAGAATTACACATTTTGAGTTTTCCAAAGGGAAGAGAATAACTTTCGCTGTTTAAAATGTTACCTCTTTTCAAGAGAAATAAGCATATGTAGATTTAGTTCTATCTTTTAGTGATCTACAGCTTTTGAAAGAGCATTACAGAGGCTTGCTGTATAATTTTTGTGCAAAGTCGAATGATTCTCACTGTTGTTTGTCTGTCTATTTAAAGTAGATTTGTTACTAAGTTCCATGTCTGTTGTTATTTCCCTGAATGGTAGGAAGTAATTTCCTACTACTCCCAGTGTTCCTTAGATGAAAAGATGAGAAGTCACATGGCCCTAGACTGGATTACGAAGGAGAAAGAATCTCCAGGAATTATTTCCCAAGAGCTGCAAGTGGCACTGAGGGAACTGGAAGATGTCAGGAAAGCTGGGCATGAACTGAGGTTCTACAAAGAAAAGAAAGAAATACTGAGCTTAGCACTGAGTCAGATCTACAGTGATCAAGTTACCACTTCCTCGTGGGAAAATCAAATGAGCTTGGCCCTACATGGCTACCGCTAAATTTGAAGATGTTTTAACATGCCAGGCTAGGTTAAAAATACTCTCCATGTAAATTATTAGCTTTCTTTTCTGTAGATGTTTTAATTTCTGTATCTAAAAGCACTTTTTTTTTCTTTTTTCTTTTTTAATTATTATTTTTATTTCAGTGGCTAGAAATATTCTTCAGGTCAAGCTAAAGCTGCCATGAAACATTTGATGTAGCACTGGTACTAAGGTATGTGTGAAACCTAAATGGAGACAAAGCACAAAAGCTTTTATGGTACTCTGAAGATTGAACTTGATATGGTAACCTGGATTTTGTTTTCCACATGAAGACTACATCTTCTCTGTTGAAGACATAAAAATTGTCTTCACAAACCTACAAACTACCAGCAGTAAAAGACAAAAAGGGTACTTCATACCTGCACTGGTGCTTGGTTACTCCCAGACTTCTTCACAGCATGTGTTTCCTCCTATCAGGTGCTACTGCTGAAGTTCATTGTGTTTTTCAAAGGGTATAAAGAACCTTTCAAGCAAAAAAAACCCTACAGCGTTAAACAAGTTCTCCAGTTTCAAGGTGCTTTACCTCTGTTGCAGCCAACAAGATTTCACAAATCTATGGGATCATAAGGATGAGCAGAAGTTATTCACTGGCCATCGGTATGGCTAACTGTGTGATAAAAGTCTTCTAGTTAGACTTTATATACCTTTGCTTGCACTTCAGCAAATGCCTACTGAGGTTCAAGATCTTTCCTTCTCTCTTGCTGACTGTCAGCACAATTCCACTACTAGAAGCTACTGTCTGTAAAGCAAAGTAGGCAGCATAAGTCTGATGAGTCACACACTCATAATAACCAGCATGCCATTTTAGCTGAATATGACAGCAGGAAGGTGTTAAGATGCTGGTCAATGAACTTGAACACATGTCTCCATAGTTCTGTTTCCTGGTAATTTCTGCCAGAAGAATGGACATTTAGCATAGCTGTAGTTTAAATCAACTTAGTAACCTCAGTAGTATCTCTTGGCATAAGTACAATTTGCTTTAAACATAATGTATTTCTACATAAGAGAGACACACAGTTCAGTTGGAGGAAAAGCAGGCTGGGGAAAATTCATTTTCATTCCTTAAGAAATTGATACCCAACAGTGTCACACATCTCATATAAAAAAAAAAACAGGAGAATAGGTCAGCAGTAATAACCATGTTGCAAAACCACGCACACCACTGGTAGACAGTGTGGGACACAGCCTTACTGCAGGGACAGACAACTGTGACCTGTAAAGATTCTTGTACTGTATAGGGAAAGGTGTGGGATAGCTGTAAAGTATAGATGCTCATACAGGGAGAACCAAGCTGCCCTTAGAGCTTAGCTATAGCAAGCACAGTGATTTGAAGAATTAATTACACAAAGTATTCTCTTAATGCTTGCTTGCAACACCACAGTAGCTTTTAGATGTAGTGGATGATAAGTGGGATGTAGAATTGTAGAAAGAGAGATACATTGTAAGACTGTTCTGCTTTAACGAGGCAGAAGAAACAACAGACAAAACCGCACCTGTTTAGTGGAGTCCTTATAAGCCACACGTACCAGGCAGAATTTGCCTAAAATTGTGACAGACTGCATCAAGACATTCTCCTTTGTCTTCTTACCTGTGTGTGAAGAGACTTTTCCAATTGCCTTTGCATTCCACAGTAATCTTTGGGACAAAAGGAATATTTGGAGGAAGTAAACAACATACCCTAAGGACAGTGACATTGAAGATGGCCAAATAAGGCCATATCTGTTAGTCAGTCATTGGGCGTGGATAGGATAATGAATTTGGGAGTGTAATTCAGGAGGAGCATACTTGGAGAGCTACCTGAAGCTTTCCCAGCACTGCCAATAAAGAATACCTTGCTTAATCATAACAAAGCTTCGCTGTTAAGTTTCTACACATCAATTTCTTCCAATCAACAGCTTGAAAAGAAAAATAAGTAGCACAGAATTTTGGAAAGCTGTGGTGAGATTGTAAATGAAGAACAACAGCTGTGGGTTTGTCATCTTTTTTCTTTTTTTTCTTTCTTTCTTCCTTTTTTTTTTTTTTTTTTTTTTTTTTTTTTTTTTTTTTTTAATTCTTATCTGCTGAATGTGAAATTTCCAAGGGAAAGAAAAGAATGCAGCCTCCCCTTCAGCATTCTGACATCTCAGCTTGAACTAATAGTGGCATGGACTTTACAAGTCTTGAATTCTTTCTCTAAGGTCACTGAAAAAGGAAGCATTTCAGTTCATTGTAAAAAATCGACAAATCCCATGAGCTTTCTTGTCTCGAAAAAATATGATTATGTGGAATGGAAAATGGATGGGACAAAAGTGAGATCTTGAGTGATACACAAGGTTGGAGAAAAGTCTCATTTTTTATCTCCTTTCAGGTGCTCATTTAAAAACTGTACAAAATTGTATGGCTCTATTACTCAAAAATATGTTTTCTTAACAGAAAGAGTAAATTTTGCCTAGCTTTTAATGTTTTGTTTTCTTTCAGGGCATTTCATATGTATAACTATAAAGTGAAAGTAATTTTCACACTGCATCAATAGATTGTACACATTCCCTTGTGCATTTAGGTTGTGTAATTTAGGCAATATTTTGCGTCCCATCAACATAGTATGTAAGCTGTTTAAAACAGTAGGTTGTAGAAAAAGTACTGGAAAAACTTGGATTGCTTTGATTTTTGTTTGTTGATCAAATGGAGAAATAAACAATCACACTCCTGTGGATTGATTTCAACATTCAAGCTTCATTTTTTGTGTTAGTAGCTACTTCAGTTCTAAGGATTTGTGCAGAAATGAGTACTTCAAAGCACAAAGAAAACTGGAGACCCCATTCTAGATCTCTGCATTCTTTGAGCTGATGGGAAGACACAAAAGAGTGGTTAGCTTTGAAAGGACACATTTCACTTAGCATTAACAAGTGCTGCCCACTTTCCCACTTATCTTTTCTTCTTACCCCACTCCTGTCTCTCCTTATCATATTTTAACCTTACAGTCTTGCTTGTTGTCAAATACAAACGCAATGGGAGGACATTGTGAGAAAGGACAGTGCCAATGCTTCCACTGCAGCCAAATACCTAATCACTTTTGCGTAGGAACTTTGTGTTGTAGTCTCACCAGCCTACTTTGGATGTTTATGTATCTTTATCAATCAGTGCACTAAAGCATAACTGTGATAAAACAAATGCACTGAACATAAGAATCTATCAAGCTTTGACAACAGAGGTTCCAAAAGCATACAGCAGGCTTTTGCTGCCTCTATTCAGGTGGATGTTCATTCATGTCACCTACAATTGTTTCCGTTTTCTAAAAACTGATGATCACACTTCAGTTAAACCATAATTCTGGGCAAATGTGAAAATGCACATGCACACTCATTGAACATCAAGCACCTGATTACCTATTCTTCCTGGTGTTAGAATCATTAGTTTAATCACTTTTTTTTTCTTGAGGTCTATAATTTGTTTTCTGTTGGACAAGATATCTCCTGGTTTAAATAAACAATTGGGTGGAGAAAGGTATCTCACAATTATTTATACTCTCTTTATATATACTTAGTGTATTGATCTTTCAGTTGTAGCTGAGCTTTACAGTTAACATACTAGGCCAAATTCTTCATTTGTGCACAACTTGCACAAAATTCAAGATATCACACATACAATTTTACCTTAGCCCTTAAAACACATGTTTTGCTTTCATTCACAATTCCATAGCTTTGAGTTCCTATATGACACTGCCTGTGCTCTGCCCCAGTAAGGCCCCATCTGCAGTTCTGTGTCCAGGCCTGAGGCCCTGAATACAGGAAAGACATGGAGCTGTCGGAGAGTATCCAGTGGAGGCCACAAGAGGATCAGAGGGCTGGTGCGCTTCTGTGAACAACAGAACATCTTTGTCTCCAAATTGGGAAGATATGGATTTGACGGGTGGACTGTTTGATAAATGTTTGATAAATGCTGGTTGCAGGATCAAGTCAAGAGAGTGGTGGTCAGTAGCTCAATGGATGCAGATTGGTGACAAGTGCTGTCACACAGGGGTTAGCACTGGGACTTATACTCTTTAATATCTTTATCAGTGACATGGACAGCAGGGTCTAGTGCACCCTCGGCACATTTGCTGATGACACCAAATTGTGGGGTGCAGTTGATACACCGAAGGGAAGGGGTGCCATTTAAACGTACCTAGACAGGCTTGACTAGTGGGTCCAAGTGAACCTCATAAGGCTCAACAAATACAAATGCAAAGTCTTGCGCCTGACTCAAGACAACCTCCATTACTAATACAAATTGGGGGATGAAAGGATTGAGAGCAACTGTGCTGAAAAAGACCTGGGGTAATGATGGATGGCAAGCTGGACAAGAGCCGGCAATGTGCCCTTGTGGCCCAGAAAGCCAACTTTATCCTGGGCTGCATCAAAAGTTGCATGATCAGCATGCTGAGGGAGGTGATCCTGCCCCTCTGCTCTGCACTGGTGAGGCCTCACCTGGAGTGTGTCCAGATATGGAGCCCTCAGAGACATGGAGCTGTTGGAGCACAAAAATGATGCATAGAGTGAAACATCTCTCCTATGAGGACAGGCTCAGAGAGCTGGGACTGTTTGGCCTGGAGAAGATAAGGCTGTGAGGTGACCTAATAGCAATATTTCAGTATCTAAAGGGAAGCAACAGAAATAAACAAGACAAACTCTTTAGCAGGATCTGTGGCAACAGAACAAGAAGAAATGGCTTCAAGCTCAGGGAGGGTAGATTTAGGTTAGATATAAGGAAAAATCATTTTACAATGAGAGTGGTAAGGCACTGGAACAGGTTATCTAGCGCTGTGCTAGATGCCCTGTCCCTGGAGACTTTAAAGGGGAGGCTGAATAAGGCCCTGGGCAACTTGATCTAGCTGTGATGTCCCTGTTCATTGCAGGGAAGTTGGACTAGATGGCCCTCAGAGGTGCAGTCCAATTCTAAGAATTCTATGATTCTGTATAACCATCCTTACATCTTTTTCCTACTGACAAATCTATCCTAACTAGATTCAGCTTGATACTCCTGAAATTTCTTAGTCTCTCTCAAGCAGTTGTACTGGAGGATTATTGCTGTTCCTCAGAATTGCTACCTAATCTCTCAGCTTCACAATCACTAGGTGATACAAACACAAGTCCCTCAGCAATTCCATTTAAGCCTCTGATCACATTATTTATTCTTTAGCCTTCTTCCATGGAAGACTGGTGCTAAATCAGTGTGACATCACTAGCTCAACAGAGTGGTCTCATTGAAGCCTTACTAGTACAGAGCAGTTACTGTCTGTGTTTAGTCTGTAAGACTCCTGCACACGTGTCAGCTTAAGGATTGCTTAGCAAAAGGAATCTGTGGCTAGATGACACTATGTGTATATCACTTGTACCATAGGTACCTCTAAATAGCGTAGTCAGTTCAATAACTGTAGTCACCGGTATGTCACAATTCACACTGCAGGTGAGCAGGAGTCAAAAATGCATCTTCGGATCTATACTTACCACTCTGAAGAAGGATGCAAAGAGGTCAGAACCAAACATTTTTTGCTTGTGCTCAGGGAAAGGACAAGAGGCAATAGGAATAAATGAGAACACAGGAGGATACACGTGAGAAACGGAAAGCACTCCTCTACTGTGAGGGTGAATGTGCCTAGGCACAAGTTACCCAAAGGGGTTAAGGAGAGTACTACTTGCAGAAACTCAGAAGTCAGCTGAATAACCACATTTTGAAAGGTTCACAAGGAAGCTGAAGAACAAAATGAAGGGAGGCTATGGAAGATCCCTAAACTGCCAGCCAGGTCAGAGAGTCACAGGAAGTCTCAACTAATCCTGAAGAGGAGAGCGTGCACATTTGAGGCCTCCAGCAGCACTGAAAAAAACAATATGGAGGGATTCCTTGTCACCTCAAACACTGCCCTTGATGAGAATCCCATCCAGTCTTCATCCGTACATGCTCCACTACCAAAAGAATAAGAAGCAGCCCAGGAAGAGCCAGGATAGCACTAATAGATGCTCAGGTGTAGAAGGAACAAATACACGGAAGGGGAAAGAATACAGAATAGAACCAAGAAGCAGTCAAACAGCAGGATAGGACACCTTACGTGTCCTGGGGAAGTTACGTCCACCAGCTTTGCACAGCATACAGTCCCAGGAGCTGAGAGCAATGGCTTACAATGCAACTTGAGGGGCAGTCTGACAGAATGGCATCTGGTGCAGATGAAACAAAGGTGTGTCACTGAATTCTTCCATGTGGAAATAGTGGCATCCGCTGACATTCAGCAACATTTGCTGCATATCTGTGGAGACCACAAAGTGGACGTGAGCACAGTGAGGCGGTGGGTGCTGTGTTTCAGCAGTGCTGGCAGCAACAAAGAGCAGAGGTGTGTCTGTTCTGTGGAGCTGATGGGGATTATTTCTGTAAGGAGAACTCAGAACACCTACTGAACTTTGAGGAAAGAACAGGGGCTCCGGACCACAAGGCACGTTGCTTAGTTGCAGTAATACTCGCTCATCAGCAAGTGCTGTAGGGAAAATTAAAACCCCATGAGAAGCAGTATTTTAGAGGTTTGCTTTAAGAAATGCTTCTTAACGAACTGCTTTTTCAGTCAGCTAATTTTTATGGGGAACTTTGTAAATCTCCACGTACATTCTGTGCTAATGCTGCACTCACAGGTTGTTTTGTACAGCCAGTAATGAGCGTGAGGCAGCTTAGTAAATGGCTGGGTAACATCTACAGCCATGATATCCACCAGCCTACGCTACAGCTTGATCACCACACAACTCCTCAAGAAGGCAATGCACTATTCCGTTTGCAATGGGCAGGGGGCGGTAGGTGGTGCTAGATGTGCGTAGGAAAGGCCTGGGAAATGGCATTCAGCTTCACCCTGCAAGAAACACATGCACCACAAAATCATAATAAATGCCATGTAAGCCTTCTGTTCCATGAGAGCTTCACAGAGAGGCCCACAGTGTGTCTGGACGTCTGCTACAGGATGTTTCTGGAGTAAAACAGCCTCAGAGGCAGCCTTTGTCCAAGCACTGAGGTTGACGTTGTTTCTCTGGCGCCTCGGTATGGCCACTTTGAGGCACGGGCTCAGGAGAGGTAGCTAAAGAGGAAGCGTGCAAAAGCACAGGACTATGACACGGATATTCAGGCCTTTGGAGACAGAAAACTGTATCCACGAATTTATTTCTAAGGAGAAAATTGTGTCTTTTTTCCCGTTCCTGTCAGTTTTCTAAACCATTCTCTTACGACGGTGATGACAGTCTTCTTCTTTCTTGAACCTCTTGAGATTCCTGGTATGTTTTTGCATTTGTGTAGGATGAAAGTAAATAAACATAATCTGTATTTCTTTGATCCTGTCACAGAAAATCTAAATGGTAAAAACCAAGCTGTATGACCAACCAAAATATCACAACCTAAGTTTCTCCGGAAGACAGAATTTCCATACAACATTAATACATCACAATTAGATGGATGACAAGGGGAAGGCAAGCAACACCATCATGAGCAGACCATCTTCCAAGCAGAAATCCCTTAGCTTTCCAAACTATGTGCTCTCCTTCTTAATAAAATAAAATATTAGTAATAATAATAAGAAAAAAATTTATCTTCTGTCCTACTTCCTGAGAAGAGGAATGGGGTTGTCTTCCTACAGAGTCAGAACTTGCAGCAGCAGAGCTGTTGACTGCAGTGCCATGTTTTCTTTCGTCAGGATTCAGAAACTTGTCTG